GCAGGTGGATCACGAGGTCAAGAGATCGAGACCATCCTGGTCAACATGGTGAAACTCGGTTTCTACTAAAAATACAAAAAATTAGCTGGGCATGGTCGTGCATGCCTGTAATCCCAGCTACTCAGGAGGCTGAGGCAGGAGAATTGCCTGAACCCAGGAGGCGGAGGTTGCGGTGAGCCGAGATCACGCCATTGCACTTCAGCCTGGGTAACAAGAGCGAAACTCCATCCCCAAAAAAAACAAAAAAAGATCTCCTAGAAGTAAAGAGTAGAACAGAGGATTCTAGAGTATGGGAAAAGTAGTGGAAAGGGGGAGATAGGCAGAGATTTGTTATAAAATGCAACATTACAGTCAGGTAGGAGGAATAGATTATAGTGTCATTTACCACTGTGGGATGAATATAGTTAACAATAATATGGAGTTTCAAAGAGTTAAAAGAGGTATGTTAGTATTCTCAATAAAAAGAAAAGGATTGCGGTGATGGATATGCTAATTATCCTAATCTGGCTCCTATACAATATATGTATCAAGACATCACTGTGTGACTCATGAACATTTACAATTATTATTTGTCTATTATAATTATATTTAAAATAACACAAAATTCATTGGAAGTGACATTAATTGAGGCTCTGGGACAGGTGTGGAGATAAAGGCAGCCTCTGGAATACATGCCTAGCATGTCAATGGGAAAAGGAGCTTCTATTAGCATTTACTATTTTGAGCACTGAGTAGATCCGACATTTCTCAAAGCTTCTCTCTACAATAGAGAACTGAGGTCCAGGGAGGTCTTGCAGACAGTCAGGTATGCAGAGGGAAGCAGCAGGAATAGAGGGTTGCTGGCCCGTTCAACAATAGTAGGAATGATCATTATGCATGTAGAGAAGTCAACGTTGTTTTAAAATAAATTGCATCACTAAATCACATGAAAAATTTTTCAACAGAAATTCTTAAATATTATTGGCAGCGAAACTGTTTTTGGTGAAGAAATGTTCACGCAGTTAAGTGAGCCAGTAAAGTTGTTAAGAACTACAATAAACACTGGATTGGATTCAGCTTTATCTGAATACAATGTGATTATTACTGGTTCAGGTGGGGGTCAGACATCAAGATAGACAGGTGGTAGCAACCAGAAAAAGCCATGGACCAGAAAGATTCACAGGAAGTATTTTTTCAGATTTATAAATTAGAGTTGCACCAATACTACTGAAACTATTTCCAAAAACTGAGGAGGAAGGACCGCTCCCTGAATTATTCTATGGGAACAGTACGGATAACAAACCCTGACAGAGACTCGATTAAAAAAAAAGAAAAGGTAACTTTAAGCCAGTATTCCTAATGCAAAACTGCTCAATGAAGTACTGACAAACTGAACACAGCAGCACATCGAAAAGCTAACCCACCATGATCAAGTAGGCTTTGCTCCTGGGATGCAAGGTTGGTTCAACATATGCAAATCAGTAAATGTTATTCATTATGTAAGCAAAACTAAATACAAAAACCATGTTATTTATCGAGACTGATCCAAAAAATACTACTAGCCTATTAGGATGAGTAAAACACGCAGTATAGAAAATACCAAATGGTGAGGAGGAAGCTGAAAAACTCCTAGAAATTTTCACTCCTTGCTGGTGGAAATTCTGAAATGGCACATAGACATCTACAGTTCATATTTTAGTGTATACTTCAGGAAAAGTAGAAAACAAGATTTAGAATGTTCTTAACACAAAGAAATAATTGATTATTGAGTTGAAGCATATTCCAGTTATCCAGATTTGATCAATACACATAATAATCTTTTATCAAAATATCACATGTACCCCTTATAGGATTTGTAGTATTCTTTATCTACATAAATTAAACATTACAAAACCCCAATGCAGGGGAATCCAGTTAACTGCAGATTCCTATTAGGTGGGATGTTCTGCATAATCTGCCAATGAATCAGAATCATTGGGTTTGTAATGGATTTTAGAAATCTACTGGACTATTTGTTTGTAAAGATAAGCCCCCCACGTTTAATTATATTCCCAATGGGTGGCAATTTTGAACACAGAAGAAATGCTAACATTTGTTTCTGGTAAGTTTACTTCTAGTGTCAAGAGAAAAGGTTTTCAGAGAGGAATCTGGCATCTTTCAAGTCTCCACTTCAATGTGGTTACCTCAGCAAATAATTTCCAATACCCCTGACAAGGACAGGTTCCTATAAGCTACTCAGGATCTTCTGGGGCTGTGTCGCAGGGCATGGTCCTCACATTTGGCTCAGAATAAATCTCTCTAAGTATTTTGCAAAGTTGGACTTTTATCAATACTTCTAAGAAAAGCTACTCTCTGGTCTTTTATATATTCACAAGCATGATATTAATAAAGTATGAGTAAAATTAAACACATGTTGGCAATTCCTTACAGAGTTATGTATAGACTGAGGGATCAAGTGTAAATGTTTAAAAGTACTTAGGCAAATGATTTCAAAATTAATGTTCCCCAGATACTTCTCTCAGATTCCTTATGTCCTCTAATTACTTGTTTTATGATTTTTGCAACTTTTGTAGATGATGACACCCTATCTTATCTAGGCATTTATTGTAGGAAATTGTGTGAAACTAATCAGGGATACATTTGAAAGTCCTTGTCCCAGTGGCTTCCAGAACTGAAGTATGTTTCCTCTGCAGACACCAGACACTCAGATTCCTCCGGTGACACCTTCATTTTATTTCCTGCTTGGCTTTGGGCCTTAATGCTGTGCTAAACAGAGAGACTCTGTCTTTCAGATCCCCCAGGTCGTGCCAGAGGTATGCGGACCTGAGTGTTGACAATGAGGTGGGAAGGGTTGCACCGAACGGGCACTCTCTGCTTTTCTCAGGGGGGCATACTCCGGGCTGACATCACAGTCCTGGCTCAGGGTGTGTCCTTCCAAGTATCCCTGCCCCTCCTGCAGGTGCAATGCTGATCCATGTGGCTTCCTTTCTTCCCTGGGGAGAGTCTATCCTTGGTTGGTTTTTTTCCAGATCTTCCAGCAGCCGCAAAGTCTTCCCACTGATGTCTTCAGCTTTCTTTTTTCTGCCCCTTCCATGAGGCTGCTATTCCTGAGGAAATGAGAGGAGGTGGGAGATGAGGCTGTCATTCCTAAGAGAATGGACAGAGCTTTGGAGATTTTCTTTCTTCTATCCCAGTTTCTATGAGTTCCTCCAGTGCCAGCAACACAGAGGTGTTAGCGCCTTTGCCCCTGCAGGTGAAAGCTTTGGTAATGCAGTGGTGGGGGGGGGCGGGGAAGTGGGTCTGGATGCATTTCAGCCACAGCTGCTCTTCTGTTTTCCCACACAGAAGCATCTCGGGAGGTAGAGGGTGAAGATTTCTGTGACATATCCTCAATCCTGGCAGAAAAGGTTTCAGTAGCAGTAGGAATCCCTCAGTTGTGCGTGCTCTGACAATTTAAACAATAACTTCACCGCACTAAATTTTAAATAATTTAAAGAAAATGTTCAGTTTAATGTTGTTTTCTCTTATATGACATTTGCTGGCCTCTGCCCTACATACGGTCATATTCTCTCCCTGTTTGTTTTTGTAAATCACTGAGTTTCTCAAGATGTAAGGTCTCTTGTTTGTCCTATAACATCAATAATCTGATGTACTAAAGAAAACACGCCAATTTGCAGCTCAGTAAGATCGGTTGTAAAATAACATACTTTTCTTGGATGCCTATATCTCCGTGCTGAGTATAAACTTTATTTTTAATACTAAAAACAAGAAATAACACAAATATTATGGTGCTTTATAAAGAAATAATAGGGGTGCTCTCATTAACTGCAATGCTGCTCCTCATTAGGATCGACACATTTTTTTTATACACAACCAAATTACTGACTCACATGTAATTAGGCTGAGGAAGAAGCCACAGAAATAAAATTGAAGCTACAAGATTTCACTTTAAAAAATCTTGAAAAAAAGATCTAAAGTAACAAAGATGAAATTTTGTCTCAGTGTAATAAGAGGGAAATGACTGGGAGGCAGGAATCAAAGGAAGAGACGGAAGCTTTTAAGTGTAGTTCATTGGTATCTTGATTGTTATATGGGCTGCATAGGTGAGCACATGTGAAGTGACGTGTTTTCCTTTGGAGACATGGTCTTGCTTTGTCATCCAGGCGGGAGCTCAGTCGTGAGATCACAGCTCTCTGCAACCCTCAGACCCTGGATCTGCAGCAATCCTCCTCCCTCTTCCCTGCATAGCTGGGACCACTGGTGTGCACCACCAGGCTCAGCTTCAGTGCTTATTCAACTGCACACACTAACTATGCAGTATTTATTCTAAAGCAATAATGCCTCAATAAGGGTATTGTCAATAAGCGGATATGTAATTTGTTAAAGATTGATGACAAGATAGACACAAATATAAAATATGTATGACACTTGAGAAAATGCAACTGTAGAAAATGTGCTTTTCTTTACATTTGTTAGGTAGTCACAGCAGTGATTACGCATCACACCATGTTTTCATTACAGAGAAAAGGTTCTGCAAACCTCACTAGGTGCCACCCACTGTGCGCTGGGCTTGGTTCAGGGAGAAGTCGGGTCCGGTGGTGAGAAGCACAGGCCCAGGTACACAGGTGCACTCTTACCAAATGTGAGCTCTGGGGACATTGTACAACCCACCTGTGCTTTTCCTGGTAATTTTTCACCTGTAACATGGAAATAACATTGATACCACATACCATGTTTTCTTTGCATATATAAACATAAAAGATGATTGGTGCTAAATTTAAATATATGTGATTTATATAGATTTATTTTACCTCAATAAAAATGTTTCAAAATAGAAATTAAAATACATAGGTTTCATAGGTTTTAAGGGTTTATCACAGAGCAAACTTACAATAAGAAACCACAATTTCCCAATACTATCAATGTCACAAATCTCCCCCAGGACACTGTCCCGTTCTCTGAGCCTGCTCTCTCCTCACGCCTCTCACCACAGATCTTGCTATATAGCAGGAGACATGCAAATAGAGCGGTCCCTCTGCTGATGAAAACCAGACCAGCCCTGACCCTGCAGCTCTGGGAGAGGAGCCCAGCCTGGGATTTTCAGGTGTTTGCATTTGGTGATCAGCACAGAACACAGAGACTGAACTTACCATGGAATTTGTGCTGAGCTGGGTTTTCCTTGTTGCTATTTTAAAAGGTAATTCATGAAGAACTATTGAAATTGAGTGTGGGTGATAAGAGTGAGATAAACGGTGGATATTTATGGCACTTTCTGACCAGGGTTTCTTTTTGTTTGCAGGTGTCCAGTGTGAGGTGCAGCTGGTGGAGTCTGGCGGACGCTTGGTTCAGCCTGGGGGGTCCCTGAGACTCTCCTGTGCGGCCTCTGGATTCACATTCAGTAGCTATGCCATGGCCTGGGTCCGCCAGGCTCCGGGGAAGGGGCTGGAGTGGGTCTCAGCCATTAGTAGTGGTGGCACATACTACGCAGACTCCGTGAAGGGCCGATTCACCATCTCCAGAGACAACGCCAAGAACTCGCTGTATCTGCAGATGAACAGCCTGAGAGCCGAGGACACGGCCGTGTATTACTGTGCGAGAGACACAGTGAGGGGAAGTCAGTGTGAGCCGGAACACAAACCTCCTGCAGGAACACTCGGGGGAATCAGCTGCAGGGGGCGCTCGGGAGCCACTGATCAGCGTCAACCCCAGAGGCAGGTGCAGATGGAGGCTGATTTCCTGTCAGGATGTGGGACTTCATCTTCTGACAGTTTCTCTAGTGAATCTCTCTAAATTTAGAATTCTGTGCTTCCTAATATTATCTCTACCTTATTTTTTAAAGATCGAGAGAGAAGAAAGAAAAGCTCCAAAGCTCTGTCCATTCTTTCAGGAATGACAGCCTCATCTCCCACCTCCTCTCATTTCCTCAGGAATAGTAGCCTCGTCTGCTGGGAGGGGCAGAAAAGAGGAAGCTGAAGACATCAGTGGGAACTCTTAGTGGCTGCTGGAAGACCCATTGTTCAAATCTGCTCTTGTTGTCTGTGCCTTTAATGTGAAATATAGGAAATCTCTGTTAACATTATTTTTGGGTGAGGGAAATTGTACAACTGCAGGTTATGCATTTAACTATTTAGCCCATTTAGAGTTAATTTTTGTGTTTATTCTAAACTAAAATTCTTAACTCTTTGCATGTGTAAATCCAGTTTTGCCAGCACTCTGTTAGGGAGAGACTTTGGTTTATCCGTTGTATATTGCTGGTTCTCATGCTGAAAATCAGATTGTCCTCGGTGTATCAGTTTATGTCTGAACTCTTAGTATATATTTCTGCCTATCCCATTTTGTTTTTATTACTCTACTTTTGTAATTACTTTTGGAATCTGGAAGTAAAATGCCTTCAAGTTTATTCTTGCCTTGTTACAGATACTCTAGCAAAATATTTTAACATTTTACTAATTAAGTATGATAACAGATATGGCGTTTCATAATGACTTTTATCATGTCCAGGTTATATTCATTTGTTCCTACTTTTTAGAGTTTTTATCATGAAATCTTGATTTTTAAATGTTATTTTCTTTGTCTAGTGAGAAGTTAATGGAAATTTTTTTCTTTATTATCTTAGTTAAGCACACCAAATGTATTGACTTGAGGATGCTGAGTCATCTGTGCATCTCAAAAATAAATTTTAGTTTCCTATGGTGTATAATGCCCTCTTTTTTTTTGAGACAGAGTTTTGCTCTGTCGTGCAGGCTGGAGTGCAGTGGTGCAATCTTGGCTCTCTGCACCCTCCGCCTCCCAAGCTTAAGTGATTCTTCTGCCTCAGCCTCCCAAATAGCTGGGATTACAGGAATGTGCCACCACACCTGGCTAATTTTTGTATTTTTAGTAGAGACCAGGTTTAACATGTTGGCCCTGCTGGTCTTAAATGTCTGACCTCAGGTGGTTTATCACCTCACCCTCCCAAAGTGCTATTATTACAGGTGAGACTCACTGCACCCAGTCGGTGTATGATCCATTTAAAGTCCGCTAGAATGTAATCGACTAATACTGGGAGTAGTATATTTATGCATATTAAGAAAATTTGAAGTGTAACTTTCTTATTTTGCCATTGTCTATTACTGGTAATATGGTTATTGTAGCCTTTTAGAGAGAGTTGAGAAGGTTGGAGCCTCACCAATTTTTGAAAAAGTTAGAGAATAGTTGGCATTATTATATTTTTAACTTTGAAATTCATTTTTTATCTAACATACACCTATCATGAAGAATATTTACTGTGTGCTTGGGATGCATGTATATTACGCTGCTCTTGGTTGAAAGGTTCTGTAGACGTCTATTACGTCCGTTTGTTCAATAGCGTTGGGTAAACCCACTGGCTTCCTAAGAATGTTTTGTGGATGTTCTATACATTATTGAGGGTGAGGTGTTGGAGTCTCCTCCATTTATTGTTCCTATTTCTACCTTCATATCTCTTAAAGCTGATCAATACACTTTTACTTCTATTTTTACAAGTATGTAAAATAGAAATAAAATAATTGCTTAGTAATTTTAATGGGAAAATCATATAGTAAGAAATTATGTTTCCCAAATGCTGCCATCACTGCTACACTCCTCCAGGAGTCTCACGTCTGCTCTGGGCTTCGCTCTCTCCTCAGAGTTTTCTACAGAGGAGACACAAATAGGACCTTTCCCCTACTGATGAAAACCAGCCCTGCCCTGACCCTACAGCTCTGGAGAAGAGCCCCAGTCAGAATTACCAGGAATTTTGATTTGATGATCAGCTCTGAACACAGAGGGCTCACCATAGAGTTAGGGCTGAGCTGGGTTTTCCTTGTTGCTATTTTAAAATGCAAATAATGGAGAACTAGAGATATTGAGTGTGAGTGGATATGAGTGAAAAAACATGATTATGTGCAACAGTTTCTTACCAAAATGTCTCTATGTTTGTAGGTGTCTAGGGTGAGGTGCAGGTGGTGGAGTCTGGGGAAGAGGCAGGAGGCAGAAAAGTGCATAGGAGGCCGGGCGAGGCTGTAGACAGTATCAGCCCACTATGCCAATCCACAAAGCTTGATGTGAGAGCCTCCAGGATTGAATAATTTGACAGCTCATGTGCCCAGGCAGTTTCATTTCTCAACTTTCCACACTGATATATCCAGAAGTCAGCTCCACTTCCCAGGTGACTCCCATCATGCACTGAATGGTGACAGCATTCCCAGGGGTCACACACATGTATTAAATATTGGCTGCACGTGGGGAAGAGACATTTCTGCTACTCTCTGAAGGACTAAGAACACCTCAACAGACTATCTCCCCTGTCCTCATGACTAGAACTTCACCACAAGGCCACATAGACACTCATCCCTTATGGGAATAAAAAGATTCCATTGATGAGGCTGACTGTTTTATTATATAAAATTGCTAAAGACTGACATAAAATTTTCAGAACTAATTGAAGTCTGTTACTCTATGTCCACCAGAGACTACAGATCTTCCAATGGCATCTTCCTTCTCTTTTCTACCTGACTTTGTCTCTTCACCTTGTTCTGTCCTCCAGACAATCTCTTTCAGTTCCCTCAGGTTCATGCACTTGTTTTATTTACCGACAGTTTCTAAATCAGTGCAAGGCATTAGACTAAAGGCTCTATATCCCTAGGTCCATATTCCTTGGTCCATATTCCTAAGAAGGCTTTGTGACCCTGTGTCTGGGCCTGAGCTTGCGATTGTTCCTGACCCTTCTCTAGATGACATGCAGGTCTGTGTTTTCTTGCCCCTTCCCCTGGGGTAGAGTCTCCCTGTTTCCCCAAGGTGTTTCCTCCCACAGCTCTAGTGCTCTCCACCTGTGTCATCACCTTCCTGATCTACTGCCCTGCCCTGCAGACTAAGGCTCTGATGCCATAAGAAACAGGGGAACTGCTTCCCAGTACAATTTTGGTAGGGAAACTTGTTCCCATCTCCATTCCTGATAGGTTGCAGCAGTGCCTTTAGGGTACATGTATTGATGGTTTTCCCCTGCAGAGTAATTTCTTAGTTCTGTAGTGGGGATAAGACAAGACAGTTGGGCTTGAACACATTTCAGAAGTATGGGCTCTCATATTCTTTCAGACAGACACTTTGGGAAGGGAAGATTTTTGTGACTGTTCCAATTATAAAGAAAGGGAAAGGTCAATCCCAAGATGGCTGAATAAAAGGCAGCTCCAGAAAGCAGCTCCCAGCCAGAGAGGTGCAGAAACCAAGTGGTTTCCACAATTCCAAACGAGTTACCAGGTTCATTGTGTGGGTCTGGTAGGACAGTGAATATAAACCCGAAAAGCAGTGGCAACAAAATCCAAAATAGACAAATGGGATCTAATTAAACTCCAAAGTTTCTGGATAGCAAAGGAACAATTATTATAGGGAAGCAGCAACCCAACAAAATTGGAAAGATTTTTGCAATCTGCCTATCTGACAAAGGGCTGCAATCCAGAATCTACAAAAAACTAAAACAGATTTACAGAAAAAAACCAAACCCATTCAAAAGTGGGCAAAGGATATGAACAGACGTTTTACAAAAGAAGACAACTATGAGGCCAAGAAACATAAAAAAAAATGCTCATCATCACTGGTCATTACAGAGATGCAAATGAAAACCACATTGAGATACCATCTCACACCAGGTAGAATGGTGATCATTAAAAAATCAGGAGACAACAGATGCTGGAGAGGATGTAGAGAAATAGGAACACTTCTACACTGTTGGTGGGAGTGTAAATTAGTTCAAACATTGTGGAAGACAGTGTGTCAATTTCTCAAGGATCTAGAAATAGAAATACTATTTGACCCAGCAATCCCATTACTGGGTATACACCCAAAGGATAATAAATCATTCTATTATTAAGACACATGCATATGTATGTTCATTGTGACACTTTTTACAATAGCAAAGACTTGGACCCAACCTAAATGCCCATCAATGATAGGCTGAATAAAGAAAATGTGGCACATACACAACCTGGAATACTATGCGCCCATAAAAATGGATGAGTTCATGTCCTTTGCAGGGACATGGATGAAACTTGAAACAGTCATTGTCAGCAAACTGACACAAGAACAGAAAACCAAGCACTGCATGTCCTCACTCATAAGTGAGTGTTGAACAATGAGAACATATGGACACAGAGAGGGGATGGGGGGACTGGGGGTGGGGAAACAGGAGGTGGGGGGATTGGGGAGGGAATAACATCAGGAGAAATAACTAATGTAGATGACGGGGGATGGATGCAGCAAACTACTGTGGTATGTGTATACTTAGGTAATAATCCTGCATAATCTGCACATGTACCCCAGAACTGAAAGTATAAAAAAAGCAAAAAAAAGATTAGTAGTTGTCTGTGAATATGTTGGAAGAAGGGAAAGAGAAAGGATAAGGAAATGTAGAAGGACAGAAGAAAAGTTGAGGTAATTTAACTTGTCCACTTTCTTGATAATGGTAATAGTTATGTCATGATTATCAATTTTATACTTTAAATCTGAAAAATGCATAATCTGTCAATCAAACCCTATAAAATTTATAACAATGAAACAAGTTGAGTATCAGACAAGACAGGAGTGGCAGAAACATAGATGCCAGTATGTTCATTGTCAGAGATCTATCTGAACCCTAGTTCTCTCCATAGTTTTAGGTAAGCAGGAGAATACAGCAAAATCACATCTATTCTGATCCAGCAGTGGCTTCTGCAAACCACACTAGGCATGTGCAGCTCTGCCCTGGAGTTGGCTGAGGGAGGAGTCAGGGCCGGTGGTGAGAAGCACAGGCCCAGATACCAGCACTCGCTCATCCCAGACATGAACCCTGAGATACATACGGAGCCCGACCATGTGTGGGCTTTACTTTCACATCTGTAAATAGAGAACATCGACTCCTGTGGATCATAATTTACACGCATAGATAAAACTGAAATAAGGCGATCAGTGCAAAGTTTCCATCACAGTACAATTTAATAAGCACATTTTCTCAAACCCCGGTGTTGCCACCAGTTTTCCTCAGGACACCCTGATGTGCTCGGGGCCCTGCTTTCTCTTTACGTGTCTCACCCCCCAGCTTGCTATATACCTGGAGACATGCAAATAGGGCCCTCCCTCTGCTGATGAAAATCAGCGCAGCCCTGACCCTGCAGCTCTGGGAGAGGAGCCCACCCCAGGATTCCCAGGTGCTTCTTCTTGCTGATCAGAAGGCACACAGGGCACTCACCATGAAGACTGAGCTGAGCTGGGTTTTCCTTGCTGCTATTTTAAAAGGTAATTCATGGAGAACTGTTGAAATTGAGTGTGAGTGATAAGAGTGAGATAAACGGTGGATATTTGTGGCAGTTTCTGACCAGGGTGTCTCTGTGTTTGCAGGTGTCCAGTGTGAGGTGCAGCTGGTGGAGTCTGGGGGAGGCTTGGTTCAGCCCGGGGGGTCCCTGAGACTCTCCTGTGCAGCCTCTGGATTCACCTTCAGCGGCTATGGCATGCACTGGGTCCGCCAGGCTCCAGGGAAGGGGCTGGAGTGGGTCTCATACATTAGTAGTCCTAGTGGTAGTAGCACATACTACGCAGACTCCGTGAAGGGCCGATTCACCATGTCCAGAGACAACGCCAAGAACTCGCTGTATCTGCAGATGAACAGCCTGAGAGCCGAGGACACGGCCGTGTATTACTGTGCGAGACACAGTGAGGGGAAGTCAGTGTGAGCCCGGACACAAACCTCCTGCAGGGGACCCCGCGACCACCAGGGGGCGCCCGGGCGCTGTGCACGGGGTTGTCTTCGGGCAGGTGCACGTGCTGCTAAGGGCTGGCTTCCTGTCAGGGTCTGGGACTGACTCCTCATCAGGATTCCTCGGAGAACCTTTCAGATTTATGATTCTGTACTAACACTTAGTGTCTCTTAATGTGAAACCTTTCACCCCGGTGTTTATTTTAGCAGGAGGACACATCCTCACCTCCACAGAAGCCCGAGTGTCACCCTGGGCACAGAAATGGCCCTCCCCTGGCCACCAGAATCAGAGTCCCGAGGAAGCCCAGGAGAAGCTGGGAAGAGTTTTCCACTCAGACTCAGGGCAGACATCTCCGTGGGAATCTCTGATTGGAACAGGCTTTGGGATTCAGATTGGGACCAAGAGGGAGGCTTATCCCGGCCCATGGTCCTTACAACCCTGACATTTTCAGAGGAACCTCACTGTCCTTTAAAGCTGAACATCAGGCTCAGGACTAGTCCATTTGTCCCTTTCTCTGCTGCTCCATTTTCCTTTCCTCCACGCTTCATTCTTACACTTCCCTTTTCTCCTTCTTTTTTCTGAAAATGGAGTGTGTGCTTCCTGTGGTCTAAACCGCAGGTCTCAGACACATTACCTGGAAATCGGGGTGGCTCAGGCTGTGGCTCCTGCAGAACCTGGAAGGCTGAGGGGTCTTTCTTATCTCCCATTGCCTTGACGCCCCTGCCATCTTCTATGCATGGACGCATTTGGGAAATGCAAGTAGACACTGATAGTCATTTCTTCGAATGGGATATTGATGAAGAGCTGATCCTGCGCTTCTCACCCTGTCGCAGAGCCCCCCTCACCTGTGACTCAAGACAGAGCTGAGGATAGACACTTTGTTGTGCGGTGGGCTCTGTGTGACAGCAGTTGTGAGGTCTGTCTAGGCACAGCCAAAGACAGTGGAACCAAACATCAGAAAAGACAGGCTGGAATTCCTGAGAAGCTCCACAGCCAAGTCATAGGGTTCCATTATCTTCTCTTTGCTTGGATTAAATCAGAAAAACCAAATTCATCCAGGACAATCTTCCTGACCTCAGAAAAGTGATGACAGGCTTTATTTTTATTTTTTATTGGATTATAGGTTTTGGGGTACATGAGCAGAGCATGCAAGACAGTTGCGTAGGTATACACATGGCAGTGTGCTTTCTTTTCTTCTCCCCTTCACCCACATTTGGCATTTCTCCCCAGGCTATCCCTCCCCACCTCCCCCTCCCACTGGCCCTCCCCTTTTCCCCCCAATAGACCCCAGTGTTTAGTACTCCCCTTTCTGTGTCCATGTGTTCTCATTTTTCATCACCCGCCTATGAGTGAGAATATGCGGTGTTTCATTTTCTGTTCTTGTGTCAGTTTGCTGAGGATGATGTTCTCCAGATTCATCCATGTCCCTACAAACGACACAAACTCATCATTTCTGATTGCTGCATAATATTCCATGGTGTATATGTGCCACATTTTTCCAATCCAGTCTATTATCATTGGGCATTTGGGTTGATTCCAGGTCTTTGCTATTGTAAACAGTGCTGCAATGAACATTCGTGTACATGTGATGACAGGCTTTAATAACGCCTGTAGTGTACCGTCAGATCAACACCTAAATCCGTGTTTGATTGAATGACTGACATTATGTTCCAGTCCAGGTGACAGAAAAAACCGATTATTACCATGATTAATATTTTATATTTTACACTGATTATTATTTTAATACTAACATTAATCAATGCAATATTAATATTAATACTTAATATTTTAAATTTGATAATAGGATCAGACTCATGTTATAATAATTTTGCTAAACTATGTGTGTCATTACTGATCTACCGAGCAGAAATCTCCAGGAGTTGCTTAAGTTTGCATGCGTTTGTGCAAGAAGGGCATCAACCCTTTTGAGGGAAAATATGTGGAGGATAAATGAGGCTGGTGAAGCTGATGGCATAAGATGGAGTCCTGTCCCTGAGTGAAGGAGAGAAGAAAGGAGGATTGGGTGGAAATTTCCTATATTTCTGTACTGTGCTAAGAAAGCCTGGAATATCACTGAGTCTTCTGCAAGACAAAGCTGCCCCTCAGGAAATCCCCAAGACCCCCAACAGGGGCTCTGGCTCAGATGAGTGCAGAGCTCACTCTGTTTCTGAGAATGGAGCACAGGACATGCATGGGCTTTCTCATGAGCCATGTCATGCACATCAAAGAGCAGCAGCCAGATGCATGATCCAAGTTCATGGCTCTGCCTGTAGGTGGAGGGAGAAAGGTGCCTTGTCAGAGCTAACACGCTGCGGATTTTTATACAGGACGCAAGTTTTTCGTAGTTTATTGGAAGGCATATGAAAATGTGTGCAGACTGCAAACAATTGTAATTTCACATTCGTCTGTTCCGGGATGTTTTGCAGAATTATTTTTTCATCATGCAGGACATCCTGGAACAGAGTTGCAATTCTCATGGATATTATACACACACATATACATAAATATTGGTAGACATTATAAAATTGATTCTAATATGTATGTGCAAAATGATCACTTTCAAACAAATTGTAACAGCAGAAACCAGATATATCTTTCCACTGGATGCCAATCACAGTGGAATTTCTTAAACATGATTTAAAAATGTTTGACATCTAGTAATAAGGACAGTGATTGTTGAGAGGGAAAGGATAAAAAGGAGCCCGCTGACGAATGCATGCGCACTTTCCTGAGAGAGTTTCCAGGCACAGTGCTCAGGTAGGAACAGGTAGATCTGAAGCTGAGGAAAAGGAGCTGAGATGTCAGACAGGCCAAGAAGTGGGGAGAGCACAGAACACACAGAGGATTGCAGATCACTGTTCAGAGAGTGAGCTCCACAGATGGCAGGAGGGTGACCCCGTCTTTGTAGAGTGCAGACCTGTGTGTGGGTACCAGGGCAAGTTGTACATGAGAACACACCCCGTTAGAGGGGCTTTTCTCAACATCTAAAACTATGAAAAAATATATGAAATAATTGCCTAGTTTAACATATCCAAAATATATGTGGATAAAGGCAAATATAAAACAGGTGAATTCACCGCATTAATCGCTAGAAAAGTGTATTTCCAAACAGTGATACCATCAAAGAGGGTGAACAAATCAACTCCATCCTGGCAGTCGGCTTAGCAGAAAAATATTTAAAATACATATGGACCTACTAAAGAAACTTTAAACACAAGCATGAATAGAGTTATCTAATTACAGGAGTGATGGTGTAGAAAGCCCCAAGCTTTCCATTGAAACAACCACATCTGATAAAAATAAATGTAAATTTCAACCATTCAACATCAGTGCAAATTATTCTAAGAAAACACAGTAAATGGAAGTTACTGATCGATAAAATGTGCTGCTATAGATTGAATGTTTATTTACCCCACAGCGTCCATGTTGGAATAAACCCAACATGAGGGTGTTAGGAGGTGGGGCTTTGGTAAGTGAATAGATATTTTGGGGAGATGTTGAGGTGCCATCTTTATAAGTAAGATTAGTGCCCTCATGTGGAAATCCAGAGTTTTCCGGCTCCCCTTCCACCATGTGAGGACAGAGTAGGATGATGCTCCTCTATGAATCATTAATTGGGTCTTCACCAGATACCGATCTCAAAAGCATCTTGATCGGTAACTTCCTAGCCTTGGGAATTCAGAAACACATGTTTATGTTATTTCTGAGCCGCCCATTTTGTTGAGTTCTCTTATAGCAGCTGAAACAGACTAAAACATTCATGAGGTCTCAGGAAGGGCAGTGAGGGTCCACCACACTTAAGAGATGAGCATTACTCTCTCATTGTCAGCTCAGGATGACAGAGTCTTGCCCTTGAGCTGATCTGACAAGAAGATGGTGCTTCCTCTCCCCCATATCTCAGTTGAGGCCATGGTGTCAGATCTCTACGGTGGAGAAAAAATTACTATCTGTGATGTGATGGATGTTTATCTCCTCCAAGCTTCACTTACAAGACAGAGTTTCCATGCCATGCATTATAGGCCAGAAACACAGGGACCCCACTGATTCTCCCCCCTGCTCACTCCTATGGTAGAGCTCCTGGGGAGCTTCCTGCGAGAGGCACAGTGAGACTATATGAGTCCACTATTCACATACAGTGTTGTGCTCCTGAAGCAGGAATGTCACACTGAGAATCATGAATAACTTTGTGTGCACCATGGCATAGGCTGTTATGTTTTTATAGTTAAAGGGGCAGGGCATAAAAACAGAGATACAGAACTCTCTACATTGTGTGACTTCATGTGCAGTCAAATGTGAATCATTTCTACCTTAACGTTCTCCTTCTGCACATAATATATTTTTATTGTGAGTAAGTAATGAAAAGCTGACAGCTCCATGAGAGCAATAAATCACTTGGTTTAGCAGAGAGAATGAGAAATAGCGGAATTTAAGAATAATCAGCTGGACACTGTGCCATGTGCCTATATTTTCAACTAGACAAAATGCTAATGTGGGAAGATCACTTGAGTCCAGAATTTCGTGGCCAGACTGAAAACATTGCTAGACCCATTTTCTCCAAAAGAAAATAACATTCTGGGTTATGAAAAAACCTGAAAAACTGCCCCTCAAAATAGGAACAAATATAATTGCATTAGACTGTGGATTCATTTTTGACACAAAACAGTGACACTATGTCAGTAATGAGTACAGAATAACATCCAGTTGTTATTGTAAGAAGTACAGACTCTAGAGACATCAGGCAGAGGCTGTCTAATAAAACATTGCCAAATGACTCTTTTCCATCGACATTGTGTGTATATCCAGGAATGCACCTGTGAATGGTGACATCATGTCTCTCACAGTGTGAAGTAAAAAGACATTACTACCCATCTAGCAAAGGATTAATAATGAGAACATACCAGGATCTCAAACACCTCCATAGGAAAAACATGGGACCAATTAACATAAAACCCAGCTACAACGTGTGAGTGTGGTGTGTGTGTCTGTGTGTGTGTGTGTGCACCTGCACTTGT